CTAGAACGTTACGTGTTCCGCGTGATTCGCTTTTCTGTTTCCGTTGAGGTCGTGGTGCAGGGGTCGTTTCGACATTTTCCGGACATTAGGCCCCAAGCGCCAATTCATGAACTAGCACCCCTTTTTTTGTGTAATTCAAGTTTAGTCATTTTGGTTTGGGTGCTTCATCTTTCATTCTTTTTTATGGTATTTTGACCCGCAGCGTCAATAGAAACAGAAGATAATCATCATTCTTTCTCCTCCAGTTGGCTGCATCTTGTTGCAGTTTTGAAAATTGGTGGAAGCCATCCACTTGAAAAAAAAACCCTGTTCACATCAGGGTTTTTTATGTTAAATATGGCTGATTTCCAGGCCTACCTAGGAACTTCTATATTTTTTGAAATAACTAAGGTTTGGCAACATCAATGTATGACGTATTATATACTTTTGGAATCAGACTTAAAAGCTCTATTCATCTGAGCATAAATTTAATATGGCGTCTATAGGAAAAAATTAAATTGGTGCTGGAGGCCAAGAGAAGAAACGTCATATTGAAATTATAATTATGGCACCTTACAGAGGACTGGCAATGTTAATATGCAGTTTATGTTGAAATTCCACTATAAATGAAGTCAGGAAAAGATCAAAACGATTTTGTCTTAGTTTTCTGGACGTACTTTGAATTTCAAAATTTTCCAAACCGCATCTTGCTACTTACCTGAGTACACGTCTTTGCCCCCATTTAAGCGACTTTAACCCTTTTAGAGCTTCCGAGATCTCAATGGTGACGGTCGAATTTCAAACACCCTGTATAATAATTATGAATTCCTCTTTTCATCAGGCGGCCATAGCACTTTTCCAAATATACAGGGTGTCCCGAAAAAAGTGTGCAATATTCTACCAGCGGTTTCTAGAGCTTGAAATATGTTTTTTGAACATGATGGCGCCCCTACACATTTTGGACGCAATATTCAAAATTGGTTGAATGTCACTTTTTCAGGTGGTTAGGCCAAGGAGGTCCTATAGCGTGGCCGCCACGCTCACCTGCCCTAAATCCATTGGATTTCTATTTTTGGGGGTCATTAAAAGACCTAGGATACTCGACTGAAGTAAATACTCAAGAAGATTTACTTCAAAGAATCCATCAGGCTACAAATGAAATAAGAAGAAAAAGGTTTTCCACTTTTCGGGCTACGCAAACATTAGTTCGTCGAGCGAGACTCTGTATCCAAAAAAATGGAAATTTATTTGAACACTTATTGTAAAGCTAGTTTTAAGTATATCCAACTGTATGTCTTCTTTTTTAAACAAATTTCAATATCGCTCGTAGAAAAAATTTATTTCTTTTGTTTTTGCCTGAATGTTAGCTATGTTGCAATAGAAATACTTTGAAGTTGAGTCATTAATTTTCAGATAATGATTGTAGAAGGAAGATAAACCAAAATATGTGTGTAAAAATAAAAAAAAAATAAAAAAAATTTTTTACCTTGTTTTATAAAGTATCCTCCCGACAAGTATTTCAGTGCGGACCTGTATTTGATCGTGAGGTCCCCTGTGAGGTCTTAAGTCACCTGATTCACAAGCCCGTTGTACTACATTAACAAAGGCACGAGGGGTTGGTTGCACTCGATTGGCAAACCGATCCGCATAAACATGTGCCATTTTTTATTTCGTTTGAGCCACGCAACACATACCACTATTCACTGACACTAACTGTATACAAATGAATGAGATACCTGTAAAAACATCGTTCCAAATTCTTTCGCTTTTTTGTTTCCGATGCGATGAACCGATACGGCGGATTATATCCATTGTCGCCAAACACGACCACATAATATTGTTATTGAGACAGGGCGGTACTCAAACTTCCAAAGGGCTATAACTTTGTTACTTTAATTTTACCAGGAAAATGGTAAAGGAAAAAAACATTTCTTTTGATCAGATCTACTCACTGTTAAAATAAATGACTCAACTTCGAAGTCACCCTGTATAGTCAACGCCAAACAAAGTGGCGCGCACGTCATCACGATAAAAATTCCCCGACCTAATGCCTAGGTTTCTATCACAAACAATTGCTCTATTGCAGTTTCATATTAATGTGATATATAAATTGTAAAATGGTCATTACTCTCTTATTATGGTTAATAGTCATATAAACATTGTTATTAAAATATCACATAAGTTGCTTTCTGATAAATTTGGACGCATTATGCGAAATAAAATGTTTTGCAAACGCTCCAATCACTTATCGACATGTAAACGCACTAAACCGATTTCGCAGCGTTGACACATTGTCACCTTGAAACTTATTTAAACTGGGAAGTGACATTTGTATTAATTTTAACACTGAATCAATTTGTGGCATTTCAAATCTTTATAAATCCTTTGGCTCCGCATACTGTAAATCAACAACTGTTTGTTTCAAAACAAAATTATTCATTTTACGAGTAGATAAAGGCAATTTTGGTATATAAAGATGCCCAAACAGTTAAATAGTCGGTGTAAGGAACTCGTGGCCTCGTTAATGCACTACTTTGAGCAAGAAAGGGACAACAACGGGCATTTGTTGCCTTTAAATGCTGTTCAAGAGGTAGGTTACTAATAATTATATGTAATGTGTATTAATAATAGTGAAATTTTATTTCATTTTTTGTAGCGTATTTCTGCTGCTTTAAAAATTAGTTTAAGGACAGTTAGTCGTATTTCCGAGGGTGTGAAAAGTGATGCAAATTTAGAATCGCCCAAGAAAAAGCGGAGTTATATTAAACGTGTAACCAACACAGCGACATTGGATACAAGTGCCATTCGAGAAGTGATCTATAATATGTATCACAAAAGTAAGATCTTATTATAATAACTTATCAGAAATTTGCATTAATTTGTTAACTAAATTATAATGTCATATTACACATGGTTTCAGAAGAACAAGTTACGATACAAACTTTATGGTCTCGATTAAGAGATAGGGCATTTTTTGATGGTAGTGCCACGTCTTTAAGGCGTTTGCTTAGAGATCTTGGATTTAAGTGGCTTAAGGACAATCCGCGACGAGGGCTCATGGAACTACCAAGTATAGCTTTGAAAAGGGTGGAATTTCTAAGGCAATACAATCAAGCCAAGGTTGAGGCCTTATACCAGTTTGTCTTCCTCGATGAAACTTGGATATTTCAAAATGGGACCATAGGTCGCTCTTGGCAAAATGGAAACCAAAAAAGCGTGAAAGCTATTAAAACAGATGGTAAAAGGTATGTACTTTTACACAATTTGCACTATAAAATTTAAAACTAATATATTTTAGATACATTATATTACATGCTGGAAATGAAAATGGGTTTATTGAGGGTACTGAAGCGATATTTTCTTCGAAAACAAAATTGAGCGATTACCATGGAGAGATGAACCAGGACAATTTTTTGAAATGGTTTCAACATCAGTTATTAGAAAAATTGGAGAGTCCATCTATGATTATACTGGATAACGCCCCTTATCACAGCATGATATTGAACAAAGTGCCCAACAATGCATGGACAAAAAAAAATATCCAAGACTGGTTGACAAATCAAAACATACCATTTTTAAACACAATGTTTAAAACAGAGCTATTGAGTATTGTTGCTCGGTACATAATGCTTCTTAATTATATATATTTTGGTCGACAGTTTATATTTGTTTTGTTCATTCCTATTCTTAAAATAACTGCTTTTTTAGAAACAAACCACCTAAAATATACGTGATTGATGAATTGGCGGAACAACATGGGCACAAAGTTCTTCGTCTGCCTCCTTACCATTGTATATTTAACCCTATTGAGTTAATTTGGGGCATAGCAAAAGGTTACTATAACAGACATATTGGTAGAGATGGTAACAGTGAAAAAGACTGTTTGGATATGTGGAACGAGGCTCTACAAACGGTTACCCCAGACATGTGGAAAAATAGTGTTCGACATACTGAGCAAGAAATTTTTAAATGGTATGAAAGAGAACGAATTTTTGATCGACCAGACATCGAACCTTTAATAATCAACTTTGAGAGTGATGAAGATTCAGATTCAGACAGCGCTGAAGAAAGAAACTCCGACTAACTTTATTGTACAGCAAAAGCTTACACCAGTAGCTTACCTAATTTTAGAATGCATTTTTCTGTATGAATTCTGTAAAATAAATACCATGCATAAAATTTGGAGGACCCCATTTGGATTTTTATTCAGTACCTTTAAGCTATCAATTAAATATGGTAGTGTCATAGTGTCATCTGATCAATAATTGTCATACTTAATGATTATGCAAGTACAGATCTATAATTTTATTATACTATTATTTTTGTTCTCATTTGAGGTTAATATTGCTTATAAACCTAGATATGTAAATAATAAATTTTATTATTTTACAAAAAGTTTGGCAACAATGTAAATTTTTCAACACACCCACCTTGATGACGTGCACGCCACTTTGTTTGGCGTTGACTATATGTATCTAAATTCGCAGTACATTTCCTATCATGTGACAAATTCTTTAGTTTGATTTTATTCAAAAATGGCACAATCTATCGATATTCAATAAGAGTACCTTTTTTATGTAAAAAACCCTAAATTTTCAAATTCTAAAATTGAATTTCCAAAAATAGAATCACACAAAAATTTAGGGGCTAAAATAACCTCCGTCCCTGTTACATTCGCTTCCAAACAAAACTGCCTAAAATTGTTAATATTTTTAAATCCAGCATAAGAAACTAGGCTAGAATACCAAATTTTATGTCTTTATCTCAACACGTTTCGGAAATATTAAGGAAAAATCATCTTCAGGGGAGCCCCTTTAAAAGACTGTAGCGCCTTTAGGGGACGTTTGTCGACCTATGTTTATATAAACTTTTCTTCCTATTTTAAGCTCTAGAAACCTCTGTTAGAATATTGCACCCTTTTTAGGGATATTGTAAAATTAAAATACTCATTTTCGACAAGTAGCGCTTATTAATATTTCAATTCACCTGAGGTCTCACGATGTTTAATCTCTATTTTTCAGGAATGCTATGCAACCTGATATCAACCCAACTTCACTACATAGCAACAGAAAAATTCGACACAAATCCAAAGCTCCATGAAGGGAATGCTCAACTAGGCCGAGCTCTCGGGCTACTGTTAATCCCTCATCTAGTCCTTATGCTCCTAGAAAGCTATACAGTTATGCAGGCACAGCTGCTTTTTGCTTCCATGTTACTCAATATTATTCCTGCAACGCTGATCATTGTCATTCCCATAGGGACAAAGTTTAAGTTCAAAGAGATGTCAAGATACAGCACCTTGCCTGCGTAAGTAGTAGACTGTTTCACTTGTAGCTTTTCTAGAAAACGTGCAAAGGAAGATATCATTACGCCTTTTTTATCAATGGAGTCAGAAGTCAAAATCATGCGACAAAAAAACAAATTTGTTGGAAAAAAATTAACAGTCGTGCACAAAATAGTGCTGCCATCTTTAAACAATACGAGGTCGAAACACTAATTTCTAAACATTTTGAAAATTGATTATAAAATTATTGTTTGCCACCCATATAAATGGATTATGAAATTTAGGTGGAAAAATTTCTTTGATTATTCAATTTCTAAGTTTTGTTGAAACATTTTTTGTACACGGATGTGCATCGCAAAATAAGTACGAGCCCCTTCCCACTTCAGTTGGCCCAACTATTGAAATCTTTTTCTTATCAAACACAAATAATAAAAATGTAGCAAAGTGTTAGATATAGGTTTAAAATATTAACAATGAATATTTTGATAATTACGTATATAGTAGAAAACACCAACTTTATCACCCTCTAATCAAATTTGCAGCATAAAAATAACACAAGTTGCAATTACAGCATATCAACCTATTTTCATTTCAATGTAAATAAGTCTATAACGCATAGGTGGCTGTGAAAAATAAAAGCCATGACAATTGTTTTTATTAATCACAGCTGTCAGAATGCGTTTAAAATAGTTTTGGGTAGTTGAGGTTTTCAAAATGGGTAGAGGAAAGGTTATTAGTGAGAAAATTCGGTTACTGATAATTAAATTTTTTAATTCTTATCGCGGTACAGTGTGAGAAATATTGTTAGAAGATATAACGTAACTGGCTCAGTTAATACATATTAAGCCGCGATATGTGAAAACAAGTAATATCGCAAGTGCCGACCGAAAATCACTAAGACGAATAATCGTGAAAAACAGGCGTGCCAATTATTTACAATTAAGTGCTCTGTGGAGTGTCACTGTTGGAAGGAGAATTTCGAGGTCCACAACTCATAGAGAGGCTCACAAACTAGGATTTAGCACTTGCAAGGTAAGTTTTCTTATAAAAAAAAGTGAAGTATAAACCCTAAAGTTGCACAACTTGTTTATAGGCCAACATAAAGCCACTATTAACTCCACTGCAAAAGAAAAATCGGCTTAGATGGGCTAAAGAACATAGACAATGGACACCTCAACAATGGTGTGCAATACAATGGAGTGATGAGGCCCGATTCGAAGATTGTGTTGGTGACAGTCGCAGTAGAGTTATTCGCAAAAAAAATGAAGCATTCCATGTCTGAAGAGAAAAGTGAAATTTCCAGCATCAATTCTGGTCTGGAGCAGTATGTCATCAAAAGGAGTAGGAAAATTTCATTTTATTGATGGAAATGTGGATACAAACAAATATTTGGCAATTTTAGAAGATTCGCGTTTACCAGTGATGGAAGAACGTTTGACATCCGGCCAAGATTTTGTGTTTCAGCAAGATGGTGCAGCGTGCCATACCTCAAAAAAGGCTATAAAATGGATGGAAGAAAATAATGTACCAGTTTTGAAATGGGGTTCTAGCAGTCCAGATCTGTCACCTATTGAAACTTTTTGGCACGAGATGAAAAAGGTTCTACGACAACATCCTGCTCGTACAATCACCGAACTGAGACAAAAGCTTCAAGAAATATGGGATTGTTTTACACCAAATTTTTGCCAAAAAATGGTTAACACTATTCTCCAAAGAATTTCAGCCGTAATAAAAAATAAAGGTGGTGTTACCCAATGGTAATCTTTCAATTGTTGCTTTGTTAACTTCGCGCATTTATTCGCACATTGTTTATTTGTTCAGATGTTCTATTAGTTATAGGTCTAAGTAATTTCAAATATATACGTATATGTATTTTTTACGACTAGAGAGTATCTAAAACGTTTTTGAGAAATTAAATTGTTTTAGAAGTAAATAGTTTTGTCATGTTTAGTTTATAAAGGCATATTTTGGTACAAATCTTGAAGTGGGCCGAATGAAGTGGGAACGGGCTCGTACTTTCTCTTTTTCAACATAGTAGGTAACAAAATCCACTGAATGGAACTGTGTCACTCTGCACAAGGGAACAAATAGTCAAACACCCAATCTCGTAATTTCCCATGTCCATAGTCCAGACTAGATAAAAAAGGTGAAAACAGCTTTAGCGGATATTTGAAGGTTTTATATGGAAGGAGGTCTTTCTAATAATAAATACTCAAAAAGCTTCAGCCAGATATGCGTTATTTTTTATAAACAAATTCAGTATTCTGATTGCATAATTTTCAAACAAAATTTTATAAATATTTGGTAAACTGGAAATTATAGAGCATAATAAGACCTTCAAGTTTGTTTTCCAAGAATTAAAATCGATAAACGATAAGCTAAATATAGTGCTTTTTAGGCATATTGAATACATGTTTATACCTATTGCAATAGCATTTGTAAATGGCTAAAAATTTGCGAAAATGAGGACATTATTGGTGTTAATAAGTGTGCTAAATTTCAATCGGATCGGTTTAATAGTTTCTTCCTGTTTCCAATACATTTCACATTTTTGAACAGCTTTAAGATATGAAATATAATTAGGTGTCCATTAACTTTTCTTTCTTTCAACCTGGCAGCGCTTACCAAATGTAGTACTATTTTGAGCATACAAAATGACCCGTAAGGAAATCATCTTGCTTCCTACGCCACTGGCGAGGAAGTGTTATAATCGGAAAGTTTTTCGGATTTTTATGTGACATGTACATCATGGAGGAGCATGACGATCTGTCTGTCGGTCTGTATAATTGTGTTTAATTCTTGACCCCGCTATAACTTGGAATCTACTGGTCGGATTTTGAAATTTTTTTACAGAAGTTTACAACTACCCTAAGGATGAAGAAGCCTTACAGTTTTTGAAAATCGATCTACCGAGCTACGTGCAAAAACAGGAAGAAATAAAAATTACTCAAACCTCGTTTTTGGCCTTTCAGTGTCTCCTGATCATTTACAGAAAAAATGTGTAGCAGTTGGGATAGGGGAGGTTATATCTCAATTTTTTCAGTGATAATGCTAAATAACAAATCTGTTTTCATGGCAACGTTGATATGTTACAAGTGCATATTTTGAAATAATTTTAATATATACAGGTGTTCCATACCATTTTGCCATAGCAATCATATATGTTTTTAAATATAACACCCTATATTCTATTGCATATTTGAATAGAGCTTCTGAAAACAAGAAGTTTGATATCATATAACATATGGTTTCGATTTTCAATTGCATAGATATTTGTCTAAACGTCTGAAAAAGAAGCTTGCAACTCCCTCATTTTTAAAATCGTTCAGATAAAACAAGACAGCGCAAAGCGCTATCTAACTGTTCGTTACATTCAGATAACTCCAAACATTTCGTTATCATCGATTTTAAGCTGATCCGGAAAAAGTGCTGAAATTTGTTCCTATTCATACAAAACTCAAATTTTCCTTTTCTCAAAACTTTCAAATGGAATACCCTGTATATTTCTACATAGCTAAAGAGTATATTGTGAATTTCTTTTAAATATGAGGTTTATACAACTTTTTATTGCTTTAGTTTCAAGGAAAACCAGATAGATCTTGTATTCAAAACATGAAATCAACTCTTCTAATAATACAATGGCTTCTATTAGCACAACAAAAGTCTCAGCGTAAACCAACCAATCGTTAATAACTTGTTCTAATACATATATTACCTAAGTGCAAAATACACAAGGCCAGATGGTGGTAAATCTCCCGTTCTACATGGCCCCAGAGAAAGGAGTCGAGAGGCATCAGATCGAGATATCTTGCTTTCCAAGTGATCTATTCGCCTCTACCTGTCCAAGTATTAGTGCGCCAGCGGTGTACATACGATTTTGAGATACGCTAGGTTTTATCAAACATCAGTGATATGGGGCCGTTCAAGTATTACGTAAGCAGATTTATTACAATCATTTACCCCCCCAACCCCCTTGTCAGCAAAAGTAGCAAAACTCTTACCCCCTCCCCCCATGCTTACGTAAACATTTGTCAATTAATGTATTGTTTTTTTTAATGTTATAATCATAACGTTATAATTATAATTTGAAAAATAAGAAAATTGATTTAGGATAGATATTATATTTTACTGATACGGCATTCAGCATAGAGCAAAGGATAAAAATATTATATCTTACTAACATAACAAACTTATTTTAAATTTTTGGTACATATATTAAATTCAGTACATGAAACCCGAATCCATGATTCTAAGTTTTCGATGACATTGGATTGCTTCGATTTTTGCTCAGTGTTGTGAGTTTGCTCGCTTTCATCGGATTTTGGAATGTCTACGTCGTTCTCATCGAGCCATTCAACATCATGGTGCTCTAAATTTTGAATAATGCACATCAGTTCATTAGCACGACGAGCAGCGATTCTTACAGGTCTAACTTTCCTATCAGTGTGCGTGTATACTTTTTTATGGATATTTTCGATGTGACGATTTAGTGACTTGACGGAAGCATGATAAAGACCACACGTTTCGCATGTTCGACTTGATAGCGTCAACTTTACCGTCGGACAAAAATAATCGTAGGGCATTTGCAGGAAGTCTTTGAGTGAAGCACTTAAGCGTAGAGCTAAATTGACTGGAAGATTAAGAAATTGCCCTCCTTCGTCCAAAACCAAGTCATCAATTGTTTGTTTTACTTTTACAAGTGGTGAAAGAAACCTATTGTCTAGTAATCTAAATAGGCCACTTCTTGGACGACAGCATTCTGTATTTCTACATTTTACAATTTGAAGCAACTCTCACGCACATGTTCTGAATACCATCTAATGTCTGGAAAATCAGGAAGATCTTGTTCACCTGCCCCAACATATTTTGCATTAACATTATAGCCATCAATTTCCATTGAACTCCATACCTCAGCTAATACATTTCCTGCAAATTCGAATTTAGATCTTTCTAAATGTTCATCAATTGTAACGCCACGTTCATCTAAATGAGACCCAAAATGGTCATGAGGCAATATTTAACCAGCCAGTTCCCGACTAAGAGGAGCCATTCTGCGCTCTACTCTGTTATACGCACTTCTTCCAGGAGCATTGGTAGCTAAAAACAATGCATCGAGATCATGTCGCTTAAAGTGTTGTATAGCAAACCCTATGACTCTTTGATAACGTGGATTTTCATCTGGCCCTCCATCAACCGTCAGGATTACCACTGGTTTTACTAGTCCATGGTCAGTTTTAGCTAATGGTCGAAACTCTTCAAGTTCGAGAAGCGTCTCGAAATCCTGAGCATGAGTATTAGCAGTAGATGAACTATGCTTTCCACTTCAAATAGCGATGTATGTTGGTCCAGAATATCCAACGGCTTGCGGTTGTCCTAGCATATTGGAAGTGATTTTGATACCAGCGTAAACAGATGGTATTAATTTATGACGCTCAGCGATTACCCAATCGTGATCAGGCAATTTGATTCTATATTCAATGTGCATTAGAAGAGGTGCTTGCTTATTTGCCGAAGTTACGCCAATAGGGACTCGAGCTTTATCTTCTTGAGATATGAAAAATACTTGATCTGGTCCAAGTATGGATGCTATGTTCTCTAAATAATGGATTAATGTTTCAGCGAACTTGCTATCTAAGTGATTCTTGTGTGAGTTCATCAAGAGGTTTTACGCTGCGAATTGATTCCGTTCGTCTTCTATCATCTGCTGCACTCCCTAATAAAGCTATATCCGCGATTGTTTTCAATAGTGAATGTTGATTGCTTTCAAGATTAGGACGTCCCTCTGAATCCCTCAGAGGTAGTCTTTTTTTATTTCTGGATTTTCATGATAAATATCTTCTAACTTTCTTTTCTTACCATCCCTGTGTTTCTTCTGGGCAACTGCGTTTTGAACCTTCCTGTTTAAAGACTGTTTTGCTGTTTTTATTTCCTCTCGCAACTTAATGATCTGTTTATCAACTTCAGCACGGCTTGGCATAGTATCTCTGGCAGAATACAAAGTATTCAGATTTTTTTCGAGTAGAGCAATCTTATTTTTCATAGCTTCCTGAGAAGGTTTTGCTCTCTGTTTATCTGTATTTTCATTAATTTCGCATTGCTGTTGTGATTCATTACCGGGTTTTATTTTATCTTCTTCCTCTTTTTTAATATTTGAAGCTGACTGTATAATTTGTATTTTTTCTGCAGGTTTACAGGTTGCCTAAAAATAAAAACTTTCTATGGCCTCTGCTAAAGATTCTCTTATTAAGCTACATAAATACAAAGTTTGGCAATATATATGGTAAATACAAAACCCTATGGTTTTAAATCTAATATGTTTAAACGAGCAATTCGTTCCGGTCACAAAATACAGGGTGTTAGTTTTCTATATATATGTATAAAACTAACATATTGTACTCCCCTACCCCCCATGTCATCCAAAATAAGCAAAGCAAACACCCCCTCCGCCCCCCTATAGTGCTCACGTAATACTTGAACGGCCCCAGCGAATCCTGTTACCCAAGTAGCTGAAACAACGTGATTGAGAACAAATACTGGACCTGAGATCAAACATCTAGGAATAAACAGAACTATTTACAACAATTTAATAATGAATGACTGTCTTGATTCAAGATGAGCTTTGTTGTGCGAAAAAAAAAATGTGGAATATATTGTTTTTCTTTGAATTGATAGCAATCACTCGAAAACTGTTCGAAAAAAATGATATAAACCTTTTATCAAAAAAAAGTTATCAATGAAAGTCATGTAATGATGTAGAAATATACAAGGTGCTTATATTGTATTTGCGTTTTGAGGTACCCTGTATAAATAGGAAGATATTTTGGCATTTTTTCGGATCATCTCAAAATCGACGATAATAAAATTTTTGTGAACTAGATTGTATACAAGTATCTTCAAAAATGGCTAAATATCTATCCGAGTTACAATCGAAACCATATATTATCTATGTTTGTATGTTATATGATATCTAACTTCTTGTTTTTAGAAGCTCAATCGAAATATGCAATAAAATATAGGGCATTCTATTTAAAAAATGCATGTCTGCAATGGCACGAACTTATAGAACACCCTATATATATATATATATTGAAATAATTTTAAAATATGCACTAGTAACATCTCAAGCTTGCCACGAAAACAGATTTTTGATATCCTTTCTAGTTTGCTCATAAAACTACTTCATTTTTGTTGGCACACCCTGTATATCCTACAAGTTATTTCACTGTTCATCTTTATCTTTTTGATTTGACATCGATTCCTAGTCAGTTAAGTTGTTGTGGCACTGTGTTAGAAAAACATACATCTAACCAATGCATTACGGCTACAATACTGTGAAAAAGCAAAATAATCATTTTCATCTTGCTATCATTCTAGTTTGTCTTATCAAATGAAGGAGATGATGTCATTCAACTATACGTCAGAATCTGATGCTCAATCTGACGATGTCACGGAACCAGAGGCTCCAGAACAACTTTCTCAAGAAGCTGTAGTGGATATCCAGCCGCACTTACAAACCCTGACACCGCTCAATGTGCAGACGTATTACAGTAACGCAGGAGTCAGCATCCTGCCAGAAATTCCTGAAGAGGAGGAGGATGATATCAACACAATCAGCGCCAAAAGACTGAGTGTCATCAGTACAAGGCTAGAGGCTATTAATCAGAAAGACAGACGAGACAGTATTAGGTAACGGATGCCCTAAAAATTTTGCCACAAAATCTTTATCGGAGTTTTTTTTAATGAAGAAGTTTATTTAAACACTAACTAGTTTTCATACATTAAAACTCAATACTTAAGTAATTTATACTATCGAATTCTGTGGAGTGGCCCATTCTGCTCTACCAGACGTGACTTTGTTTGAATGTCTCTCATGAGGTACTAGACGGAATTTATATTAATTTCTCTCAGTTTTTCCCGAATTGGCCATCTTAATCGTTCTTCATCTTGGGCTTCCCAGCCTACATGATAAAAATTCTCAGACAGTGAAGCCCAAAGATCCTCTACTGGGCGAGACTGCGGTAAGTTTGAGGATTATCGTTTTTGCGAACAACATGTATGTTGTGTTGTTGAATCCAGTTTTGGGTATCTCTTGAGTAATGGTAAGAGTATGATGCTAGGTCTGTCCAAAACATGATATGGTCATTAGCATGATGTTCGTAGACAAAGAGAGGCAATTTGGAAAGGCATTTATCAATATAGCTTTGACTATTCAAAGCTTTACCCCTCACTCTTCCCACATAAGGTTGGGACACACTCTCGGTAGAAAGTGCGCACCATACAAGGATTTTATCTACAGATTTTGCTTAATGTTTGTATCTACCATTGTCAGGGCATTTCTCTACGTTGTCCGTATAAAATCCGTCATTTCCCTCCACTTCAGAATTACTCAAAGTGAAATACCTTTCGACACCTAAAATAATGATTTTTCCATTAGCAAAGTGTGCCTGCCTCAGTTGACGACAGAATCTTGGTATACGAAAACCATTCCTCCATCTTCGTTTCCTCAGGTTACACCCGTATCCGGATGTGTGGGCATGTGTATCTACTTTTGTAGTTTCATGTGTGCATTCATTTCGGGCCTGATGAAGCCAACCAGCAGAAATACGTATCGCTCGGGTTACCTATCCTATTTTCTGCTGGAATCCACTTTCCTCCTTTTTGCGGATTTTGCCTATTATTTTCCTACTTTTTGTTATATACCTTTCTCCGCATGATCATTTTCTCTTTGTAGATCCTTTGGGCTTGAAGTACCACAGCAAGTGGCTATAACCGGCCGCGTGGTTGTGGTTAGATGTCTCCTTGAAAATTCGAGATCTTCTTGCCGTTTGGTACTACAATATGTAGGGTGGCTCTTGTTGTGGACATCGTGTGTCGTTTTTTTCCCTCTCCATCTTCGTTTCCTCAGGTTACACTCGCATCCGGATGTGTGGGCATGTGTATCTACTTTGGTAGTTTCATATGTGCATTCATTTCGGGCCTGATGAAGCCAACCAGCAGAAATACGTATCGCTCGGGTTACCTGTCCTATTTTCTGCTCGAATCCACTTTCCTACTTTTTGCGGATTTTGCCCATTATTTTCCTACTTTTTGTTATATACCTTTCTCCGCATGATCATTTTCTTTCTTTGTATAATATATATAGGTGAAAAATTAAATCTTCCGCCTTTTGTTGGGTAGTTCGACAAAATTTAAGCAAAGAGGACTCTTTATACTTTTTTAATTCTCTCTAGCTTTCAATGGACTTTGCCATCATCATCAGGAGCTGCAATTACAATGATAACAGTAGCAACAAAAGTGTAAAATGAATTTAAATTGACTCAACTTACAGTAGTATGTGAGGATGTTGCTAATTGTTGTTTACGTATAGGATGAGGGAAACGTCCAGTAACATGGTGAGAGCTGGATACATGGTACAATGGTCAAAATTATATAAAATATGACAAGAGCAAGTTAAAGACAGATTAAAAATTATTTAAAAACATTAGAGCATTACATCGTGAAGCCACAAAATGGTGGTTATGGAACAATGAGTGAGATGAACCTTTTGACAGAAGGCCGAAGGTTGTCAATGTCTGTGTTAAAAGATGGAACGAATTGTGGGTGTGTGCCAAAACGTTGCCAAATCACTTCAGATGATGTGATTTTCAGAATGTTATGTATGAAATTGTTAAACCGACCAGAGGCAGTTGAATAAACTATATTTTAATTAATGGGAATTTAAATTAATAATTATTAATAAGTCGTGAGAAGAGAATTATTAGATTTTGAGTGGAATGAAATTTACTGGTGGAATCGGCCAAAACACAGATTCTATTTATGGTTGTGAAGAGTCGAAATTTGGGGAGATATGTAAGTGCTCTAATTTTTCGCAGTTTAGCAAATATGAGTAAATGACACTCAGTTGTTTAACATCTGTCTTTTTGTTGATACAGTTTCTATTCATGAAAATGTGGGACATTTCCAGGAATAAACGTTTGGAAAGGTGTTTTTCTTTATCAAGAACTTTGATACTTGAGTAATTCATAGAATGCCCTGTTGTGTTAACATGAGATGCTAGAGCGCATCTTTCAGGATGAAGCCTAGCATCACTTTTGTGTGATGTAATCCTTCCTTTAAGAGATCTGGAGGTCTGACCTATGTATATTTGGTTGCAGTTGTTGCAATTGATGGAGTAGACTGTGTTAGTTAAGCCAAGTACCCAACAAAAGGCGGAAGCTTTAATTTTTCACCTAACTGGTCTAGACGACAATGACCACGTCTCAAGTTATATGTATATATATATTTATATATATATATATAGAGAGAGAACCTAGTCTTGTTGTGTCTAGCTTCATATCACATATTTGCTAGCAAAAAGTAATCCTTTGGCTCAATACGCCACCCTCACTTTATTATCATTTATTGCAGGGAGGTGTTCAATATAAATGACCTGATGAACAAAATGCCTACAACAACTGAAGAGGTCAAAACGATTGAATACATCCAGAACTACAAAAACGAAAACAAATTCATAGAGATAAAGCTGATTAAGTCCAGAAACTGGTGTTGTCAGCCATACAAACTGTTCGTCTGGAAGAGAAGGCTTAGGCGTTTCAATGACTTTCTCATTGATAATTTTAGGAAGCCGTTGATGTATTCGTTGAAGGATCCATATTTTTATCCAACAGTGATCTCAAAAGGATCTCTGACATTTGTGTCAGCTGCATTCATAGCTATAGCACCGTATTTGGCGTTAACGAAGAACAACTTTAGGTAAATACCTCCCCAGTAAGCAAATATTTTAATAGTGGAATACTGAAAATTCGAGATGTTTTTCTCGATATGAAAAAAATGCATTAATGGTAGTGACTATTGTCCTTCTCATTCTGTTGAACGGATACTCATCGTCACTACACTAAAATACTAGATTTTACCTCCTACGCGAGTGGGTTAGGAAGTGTTGTAATTGCAAAAAATTTCGAAAATGGGGCATTGTTTTTTGGATATTATATGACATGTCTGTTTCTGTCTGTCCGTTCGCTAATCATTGACTCCTCAAAAAATTGAGAAGTACCACTCGGATTCAGATGAAATTTTCACACAGGGTTACTACTATCCCAAGGACAAAAAAGCTTTATTATTTTTGGTAATCGTTCCAGTGGCGGAGGAGTGGAAGGCGAAAAACGAAAATAATAAAAATCACTTAAACTTAGAGGCTCTTGATCGTTTTCGGAATAATATGATAATAATAGAGGAATGTTTTCGATCTACGAACTCCTTCTTCCTGGCGAACCGAACAAACAGGCTGATTCACAAGTCGTGACCAAACATGAAATATCATACACAGGACCGCATTTTAAGGTACGTCTTCTATGTAATATTTTTTGCACGAGCGTTTCATTAAGAAGATACGGGGTGTTGAAATTTCGGAAATAAAAAACGTTTTTTTTAATATCTTCAAAACCGTCAACTGAAAGGAACTAAAATTTGGCATGTGGATTGACTCAAGTATTGTCCACATTCAAAAGACTTTACTTATAATTAACGTGCACCAGTGGCGCAGATACAGGAGATTAGTGGCATTATTTTTTCAAATAAAAATAGTACAAGTTATGGAATCCTGATGATTACCATTTCAACGGTACGGCTAGCACCGTCCCGATGCCCTTGTGATTAGCGCCGTCCATCCGGTTTCTAGTTACAGCGTTAGGTGTTATCTTTGTGAGAACATTCCTGACTTTGCGTTTTACTATATTTTACTTCTTATAAACTGAATATGAAATGTAACTAGCGTTGTTGTCATCCAATAAAGTTCCTGCTATAGTTTCGAACTGAAACCACACTGAGTTTCATTTCTGGCGCTGCGAGCAGGATCCCAGGCTTGGTTTCTGTCACCATTGTGAGAAATATCTAATAGACGAGCTGCCCAGCGGTGTCTCCGAGAAAGCCAAAGAGTGAGTTTCTGAGAAAACTGAAGTTAGTACCAGCGAAAGCCAAGAGTTAGTATCAGACGTCGGGAAGGCCCTCCTGTTCTACTTGGACTCTCCGAGTGCCAATATCAAGTAAGAATTTCTATTCTCTTACTGAGAATTCTACCAGAAACTGTCCAGAACCATTGATTTGGAATCGAAGACAAGATGACCAGCCCTTGGATGAAGCAACAATTGATGTTACTGTCCTTGTAAGTAGTTAAGAATTACTATTAAGAAGATTTCGCAACGAAGAAGATTTAATACGTTACCATAAGAAGAATTTATCAAAAAACTCATTTCTACAGAGAAGATTTTTTTTTGATGAATCCAAGTTTGCGTTTTTCAATTGAAATCTAATTTTGTGCATAGCTTTAAGTTTTGTTTTCACCTATTTTTACTCATGATTATCTTGCATCTTTTATACATTCTATTTTATGCGTTTTGTTAATCGTTTTGTGCCTACCAAAAGAGAAAGATCTCCTATAAGAATGGCTACTTCAAATCAACAGAATGTCGTTCAACATGACAATCCTCAATTAATTTTTAACATGCTAAAAGATTCAATTCCTATATTTGATGGCTATTCAAACAATCTTTCTACATTTTTAAGAAAGTCTACAGAATTTTATAACGCTACCTATTTCATATAAAGGACATGCTCTAACATTTATTAAGTCTAGATTACAAGGTGAACCTGCCGAATTTACAGAACAAACTAATCCTATTACTATTGAACATCTTTCTGCTATTTTAACCATTACCAAACTGAAGAAAATTTGACTCGTCAACTTTTTGATATTCATTGCCCAGACTATAGCGTTTTACATTCAGAAATTTGTAACAAACTTCATGAATTACGAGAATTTGCTCGATTAAATTATCCTCCAGAAATTGTCCCAGCAATGATTGCTAGATATGAACAGATGGCTTTAACCTCCTTTTTATGCGGAATCAATTCCAAATATCATTGCGTTGCATTACAACCACCCCCTAAAAATATAGATGAAGCTAAGAGACGGTGCCAAGAACACGACAACCTTTTGCAAACCAAACAATATAAAGAGTTTCTCGTCACTAAGTCTAAGCCTCAGACAAATAAACCTGTTAGACCGCCAATGCAGTCATATAGACCTAACTTTCCCATTTTTGCTAATTTCTCTCATAATCCCTCTACTTCTCGTCCCGCTATTACTTGTGGACAACAATTTAGCAACCCACAATCATTTCACAATTCTCGTCCAACTTTTAGACAACCATTCTATACAAAGTCGTCAATTTTCGAACGCATTCAACGCCTCTCTACACAATTTTGCAAATCGTCCACAATTTCCTATGAATAGGCTCCCTGTCACCAATACTTCAAGACAAAATGATCAAAATCATCCTACGCCTATGTCAACTTCGACGATCCAGTCACGTAGACCTTTTGTAAGACCCAATTTCTTTTCGAATAATGGTCAACGCCCTAGCATAGCTGTTCGAGAACTTACTAATAACGAATCCGAACCCACTAATGAAAGCTCTACAGAAAATGTAGCAAACCCCTTCGAATCTTATTATTCTGAAGCTTGTTGTTCAGAAAATCTCGTAGAAGATCAATTTCAATATTATGAAAACGATTATTCTCAAGTTATCTTCAATCACAGTCAAAAAAGAATTAGTAAAATTACCAAGTGATTATATTTTATACTTTGAAAAGTATTATTATTGCAAAAATATTATAGAGTTAAGCAATCAGCTGTATGTTTGCACGAATACTTTCCAGTCGCCATGTCAACCACTCAAGTTAGACACTTGTGAGTCTGAAAGTCTAGTAAACTACACGCGAATCCTAGAATTAAGTAAGAACAATTATGTAATCGACACTAATGTTTTAACAAAAATCAAGGATTGTAAAGGAATCCGTCATATTCATTTTACTACTCACATAATTTTAGAATGTCATTCATTTATTAATGATCAAATATTAGAATTTGACTCTAATTATGAAATTGAATTAGAATTATCCTTCAGAGGTGACAACGATAAATATTCATTTAAGAAAACAAACACTTCACTCGAATCTTATTTCGAAAAAAATCTCACTTCACTTCAAGTTCATTTTGAAGATTTAGAGTTTCATTCTACTATAAGTTATCCTGTTATTTTTACTACTGTAATTATTTTATTGGTTTTATTTATAACAATTTTTGTTAGATACCGTTATGTAAAGTATACTAAAACTCAGCCTCATAGTAGTGATATTTAAGAAACTTCTCCTTCAAATTGAAAGTTGAAATCATTTTTTGAGATTGGAGACCAATCTTTCCGAGGAGGGAGGAATTATGGAATCCTGATGATGGTGATTAGCGCCGTCCATCCGGTTTCTAGTTACAGCGTTAGGTGTTATCTTTGTGAGAACATTCCTGACTTTGCATTTTGCTATATTTTACTTCTTATAAACTGAATATGAAATGTAACTAGCGTTGTTGTCATCCTGTTTTCATCCAATAAAGTTCCTGCTATAGGTTCGAACCGAAACCACACTGAGTTTCATTTCTTACACCAGTGTTTTTCTCGAAATGTGTTATTTTCGAATTTTACATTCAATTTGCTACAAATAGTTACTCTTGTGCTTTTTCCTAGAGTGCACTGTTTTCGTAAAAATAGAAATAAAGGAAATTAGATCATCCATGAGGAGCCGAGATGCAATTAGTTTCAAAATAAAATAGGAGGCCTAGTTATCAACTTGACGTTTTTTGGGAGATAGTTTGTCAAATTTATTTGTTATATGGTTGTTATCGTTTCTACTACCACTTTTTTTTGCGAAAGTCAAGAGTTTTTTTCATTTTTGATTATTGTGAAATGGAATTTAGCAATGATGAGTACGCCGATATTACTTTTGTGTACGGGTTATGTAGTGGAATTGCTTTAGCGGCCTTCCGGAAGTATCAGCGTAGATTTCCTAACAGACGCCAACCTACCCCAAGGGTTTTTACCAATTCTGTTTTTTTTATTTTTACGAAGACAATGCGCTCTAGAAAAAACACAAGAGTAACTATTTGTAGTAAATTGAAGGTACAATTCGAAAAGTTGAGCGTTTCGAAAAAACCAACTAATCCCTTGTATCACCGCCACGGGTGCACGTTAATTTTAAGTAAATACCTTTGAATGTCGACAATACTTAGGTAAATCCACATATCAAATTTTAGTTCATTCCACTTGACGGTTTTGAAGATTTTAAAAAAATGTTTTTTATTTTTAAACTTCAACACCTTGTATCTCTTTAATGAAATAAAAATGTTACGTAGATGACCCCCTTTAAAACGCGGTCCTGTATATATGATGTTTCATTTTTGGTCACGACTTATGAATCACCCTGTGTTTTATACAAATACACGAACTACGTAGCGACTCAACAACTCGGTGCAGCGATGCCTCGCAGATGTGGAAAAGGACAATGTTGCTAACTGAACAGTAACTACCGGTAAGGCCGAAAAAGAACGTCCATGGCCCTGTTTTACTGACTTAATCAGTTTAAGTTGTCTGTCGTACATGTTCCTAACTGACTTTTTTTGTCGGAAGATTTAAATTATTGCGATGAACTCAATCCTTCATCAACTGATGGCTGCGTTGCAGAGTAAACCTATTTTAAGCCATTGTCTTGCATCTGTCATAGTAACAACTTTTAGTGTAAGAGAGGTAATAGTCACACAGACGACTTGGAGACAGACCGTCGCAAATTAATAACTTGACTTTTCGCTGCCTTAGTATTACAAGGGTGTGTTACAAAACTGAACAAAATTACATTTTAATTTCACA